CCATTCATGCCGAAGTGTAAGAATCGAAAATCTTGACTATGATTATGAATAGTAAACTGTTGCCGTGATACTCTGAGTTCCCTGTACTATTGATTGGATGACCCTTCTCAGGCACATAGCGCTATAGCTACCACCCATGTGACATAACTGCAAAAGACAAAGCAAGAGTAATGACGGAGACAAGGTACTGAGGGACCACTTCTTACACACGGTCTCATATCGCCTGACCGAGTAGTAGGAGAGACGATGAGTATTCGAACTCCACCAGATTCGGGCCTGCAAGACCCATGTCACGTGATAAATGCTGCTGGCACTGACAAGAGCAAGTGAAAATAACCACAGAAGAGACATACTTTCATCTTCCAGAACAGCCAGGCGCGTGCTTGATGAAGCGTGAAGATTAATGTGGAGCTGGCTGAAAAACACGGCTTTTGTAGGTCGACAATACATGTATCTGAGTCTATCCTGAACGACCAGAAATGGCTGGAATGATGTCTAGAATGCTTGTTGCTGGTCTCCCGCGACAAGGTCTATTTTCTGCTTCTCATGTGATCTGTGAAACCTTATCCATTACTGTACTGACCAGTACCAACGGCCAAAGCCAGCACTGAAATAACGCCCAGGAATGTAGTGGGCTACTTGTTGAATTTACAAAAGCTCTCGGGATCTATCTGGAAGCTTGTGGGGCAGGAAAATAAACAAGAATACAGTAGTCCTTCCGCTCAGTGATCATCATAGTTGCGTCCCCTCGTAGCTTCAATGGTACGAAATAGATGAAGCATAATGGTGATATGGAGAACAATGTCTAGCGCCTACTAAAGCGCCACCAAGGAACTGCGAGTTTGGCGTTCTGGAAGGGGCAGTCGGTCAGCCAACCAGCTCTACAGTCCAGGAATCACCCAACCAATGCCGTGCTCGTTCGAAGTTTCCATAACCTGTAGCGGAAGCTACGATGTTTATGATTGAGAAATCTCCAAAAGCAAATCGATTCCTTTGCGACTACCTTTCCGATCAAAGGATGCCCTCCGGATCGTTGATGATCGATCTGTTCTCCTTATGTTACCGAAATGCAGCTCGATCATAATGTATCATTCGGCATTGAATGTATCTTGTATGGCTTCAACCTGATACCATTGAATTCCATAACATAGCCTCGAGTCAAAGACTATGCGGACCATAAATTGCATACCATGGCAGGCGCCCTGACATCCTAAGTTTATAAAGTGCGTAGAATTGTTCTATATCCATTATATTTGTTACGTCTACTTATCGAAGGGATCTGTAGAATAACGACCGAATTGCTGCCATGTTGAAGCGGAGGACCCAAGAGACGTAAGCGCGGGGGGAAATCCACCGTTTAGCAGCTCAGACATTAATGTCAGGTATTGGACGAACCCGCCGAAGAGATATATAATCAGGATTCCGAACGCGACGAAAGTAGCGGCTTATCCGTAGTTCTCTCATAACCGAAGTGGCTTTGTAGCAGTTTACTACATAAAACACTGCACTACAGGGCGTAGGACAAAAAAAGTCTATTCTTCCTCTGTTGGTGCCACGTTGGAATCAAGATACACATCGCTATTGATAGACGTTTGTATGCCCGGGATTTATCTACGGGATGACTTGGTATGATAGTGGAAAAGCCCGCGAGCTATTTGTAATTCAAATATGCTGTGCCGTATTCGTGTACCTCTCGGTGCCTTTACGAATCTGGGCGCAGTGTACCAATGAAAGAAACGGCAGAAAGCATGCCATACATGACAAGCTGATGTATATATCAGTGGTAAGCTTACGCTCTCAGCAAAGGCTAAGATATGACCACCCGAAATACCATTCCTCCGCCTTTGTTTCTGAGAATTGTCCACAACAACGCTAATGGTGACCAGATTCTTTACACAGCCCAGGCCATCCTCATAATTCGTGGTATAGTCTTAGGCGGCATCGGACAGGATGCGGGCGAGGTCAAGGATGTGGAAATAGCTATTGGATTCCAAACCTGGTACTTTGGAGAACTGTTATACGCTACATTGTCATGTCTTGTCAAAACATCGGTAGTCATGTATTTGCGCCAAGTGTATATCGGATCAACCACCCACGGGGCTATCGTCAACAGGCCTTATCTCAGAGTATCCTTAATAGGCTGTCTTGTTTGTATCTGGACAACATCGATTGCGTTCTTTTTTACCAGTATCTTCCAATGCACCCCCGTAGACTACTACTGGGAGCAATTCCGACGCCCCGTTGGCTCTGGGACGTGCGCTAGGAGGGTCATCCAAATTGCCGGTATAGTCCTTAGTATTGTCCTGGCACTCACCGATTTCGCTTTGGCTCTGGTATCTGTTACAAGCTTGTGGAACGCGCGGCTACCACGGCGAACCAAGTTTGCGATAGCGGTCCTGACAAGCTTGGGTGCATTGTGAGTATCAATTTGTCATTCATATCTCGCATTTTACGTAAGGTAACATAGGGTACCGGGCAGTTGCGCTTGTACCCTTCAATATATAACTAACAACTGTGGCTACGGCAGAGCTGGCGCCGCAATGATTGTCCGAATTTTCTATATCAAAACTTTGGAACTGACCAAAGAATTTCTTTACGAAACAGTGTAAGAAGCACAATGAATCTCCTGACACTGTGCTGAGTCGCTTACCGCAATATAGAGATATTGCGAAATGGACAGTTATAGAGGCCACTTTAGGCATCGTCGGTGGTTGTCTGCCAACCTTTTGGCCGCTATTAAGACGCTCGACTCGTTGTCTACACACTACTTGGTCATCGTTAAGACCCGCGAGACTGCAATGTGCCCCGAAAAGCTCTGAGCAGGCAGACGGTGACACACGAAACTGTCGCATCCAAATCGAGGGGGGCTTGGAGAACAATATTCGGCACAACCGTGGCACCATTCTCTTTCAGCGAGAGTTTCGAATCTCGGAGGAGTTCGTTAACAACAACGACAGCCATATACCTGATAGTAAAAGAGGCGATCCGGGCATCGTCAGTGGCACGACTACAGTAAATAACCTTCAAGCATTCCAGTCCTCACACAAGCAACGGTAACGACTTTCCATCGAGAATGCAAATGGACCTTAATCCTTTGCAGCTGAGACGTGTTTGGGAGATATGCTAGTCGCCGAGCGTACCACAGGACTGCTCGACCGGACGCTAGTTTTGTTGCCTTGACTTTTAGAGTGCAGATGAGCATCGTCCCATGTCCAAGCGCGACCTTCCATATTGCAGATAGTCCGCTCAAAATAGGAATGAATAAACAACTCTGATAAGACACTCGTGGAGATTCCAAGACCACGTCTTCCCGGGACTCGCCCTCATTTATAAATTGCTTCAGCCTTTCCTTCCGCACAGAACTCCTCATCTGTACGCTGAGAAAACTGTGAGCATCTACCTGATACTCCTATATACTAACACTTTATTTATCTTTTCTTTTTTTGTATTGTTGCGCGATGTATGGTCGTGGTTAATAGCCGTTTAGCTGCTTTCAACCATGCCAGAACCCCGCTACAGTATATCGACGCATTCGCATATGTGACACGACAATCTGTGTATTATGTCATCATATTACCACAACCCTCGATTGGTCTACTCAAAAACAAGTTAATCCCAGCCGTAGACCCTACTTGTAGATGCTAAATAGTTGCAAGCCAGCTTCGCGCCCCCAACGGGAAGCGAGGAGCCGTAAACTGCCTTTACTTTAGCATTTGTAACGTCCTGATACGGCCCCAACCATCTCATAAAATTGCCAAAGGTATAGAGCTCAACTTGAGTGGACAACGGAAGGATATTATCCATTTATAATATGATGTAGAACGCTGTATCCTCTGTTCTTGTGTAGTATATCCTCTAGTCAACCCCCGTGTATAGTCAATCCCATTACGAAGCTTTGATATGACGAGATAGTGGGTCTGTTGACAGGAATCATCCTTTGCTTGTCTATCACGCTGACCTGGATGGTATCGGAGCAATACCACAATATTCTCATTATTTCGCTTTCTATATGCTCTGAAAACAGATCTTTTGTCTCGTTCCACCACGTCCGTGGCTTAGGTCAGCATGGGTTGCTCAAACATCCAACCGTTGTGGGCACCGTTTCATGTTCCTCTCAAGAACCTCAATTTGAGTGTAGAGAAGTGCTGTCTCAAGAATTGCGCCTGTCCACATTGCGATGGTGTGTTCAAGGGAAGGCTTTTCTTTGTTACACATTGGTCGACTCGAAAATACGACACGGCTAGTTTGGCGGAGACTTACGAGGAAAGGCTATCAAGTTGGCTGCGTCCTCGTTTTTGGCAAATCAGACGCACGCCGCGCGCCAATGTGATAGGGTGTATGTCCCACTTCTCGGACCACTTCGCTTCATCAGAGGTTTATGTCTACTCCTCTCTCGTTCTTCTTCCTCAAGAGGTTCAGTGGGCACAGCCATGGACCAAAATATTAATGGGCGCCGGTGAGAAGTCCTGTTATATCTTCGACGGCGGCCCTACCTTCCAGGAATGGACGACAGTATCCTGCTGTCCCATAGACCGAAGGGACCCTCATACATCGTCTGTTCGCTTTTATAGAGCAGTTTTGTATCAGCTCTACTGGTTGGGTGAGTCGAGCAGCGAGGATAAAGGGGAACTAATGCAGGTTCCTTATGGAGACTTACGGAGGTTCCGGAAGAGCATGACATCTACGTTCCCGAATATGGACAGAACAATCCTTTTCTCATCCCCAGGTGTGGACGACCTAGAGAGATTTGCCCAGGATCATATACATCCTCAATGGATCCCTGGAAAGGGGAAACATAGTGTCTGTAGTTTATGGCATCCCCTACAACGTCAGAGAAAAAAGTAGATATGGTAGATACAACAAAGGGCTCTCTCCTCTTTGCAGACTGTTATTAAATCTATCTACCAAGAGCGCCGCCTGGCATCATTGTCTATCTCCCAGTGCCTAACCTCAGCTCGAGCAATGGCCCGTAACAAACTCATCCTTCTATATCGTGTCCATCAGTTACCAAGGTACGGTCTGTGGCGCGCCTCATATGTATTCGCAGACTTTCTCATCCGACGAGCGTCATCTTTCTTGACTTTGGATGAGATCGTGAACTCTAGACTCTCAGGATCAAGATCCGGATTTTCCTCTAATACCTTTTGCTTAGCATTCTTTTCCGCTTCTTGGACCTCTTTCGAATGCCGCTTCTCGCTGTCCTCGAATAGAGGGCAACTGCTTGGTCGATCACCGCTCTCGGCTGGATTGAAGTGTCGGATATCGCAAGACTCAGAACAAATATAGCACTGTATATTCGAGCAGCCTGGCTTAGGGCAAGTCATTTTGTTGCACCCGGATTCCTTGACAAAGGGTGTTTTGCCTTCCAAAATCATTAGCCACAAACAAGAAACTCAACTAGACGTCCCAACTGGGACACTTACACTTGTTGCAACTTCGGATGAGGGCTTTCGACATAGCCTCCTCCACCTGCCGCCTGCTATCTCGGCCGTGCTCTAGAGCCGCTTCCTTGCATGATTTGGGAACATGGCTCACCAGTTTGCAAAGACGGCAGCTTGTTACCATACAGTCAGACTTCCGGCATCGGAACTCTTTGTCAACGTTGACTGGAGGATACTCTTCTGCATATGTGCAGAAGGGGCACAGGGCGAGGTCGGGCAATTTGGCCAGTCGAAGACTCTCCTCTTGCTCAATACTATCGAGGGCAGTTTCCAGTGATCTTGTCACAAATCTTTGTCTCTGCTTGCGAGAATAGCCACCCCTACACGCGTCTATGGATAAACACTTCAGTTCATGCTTGCGGGAACCGACCTGCATTTCAGCGTTGCGACGAGCACATGAAATGCAAAAGAACTGAGCTTTGTTAGTGAACACTGGTATATGATCTTGTCCTATCGGTCTAACAAGGGACTAAACCGGAGTTTGGGCTAGAATGGCCCTTGTACTACTGCACCAAGCGTCGAGTACAGGGTTTCCATTAACAATGTCTTAGGGTACTTACATGTGCATCATCGCCGTCGCAATGGACCATCCGGTCCTTCGCGGTGTTGGTAAAACAGCATCCACATTCCTTCGTCTCGTCTTTAGACTGAGCATTGTCGAAACCCTCTTCTTCCCCTTGGTGGCCACTGGCTTCTCTAGTGTGGTGGTGAACAAATCTGGCCGCCTGGAGTTCCTTCATGAGTTTTCTTTCCCGCTTCCCATCCTCTGAAGACCTTTCGACAGACTTCATTGTATGTTTTATGTTTCTTTTCTTGTATCTTTCATCCTGCGGCGTGGGTGTCTTTTTGTATGTCCAGGGCAAAGTCTTCTCATCCCGTTGAGTGGCTTGACCAACGTTTAGGTATGTTGGGAGAAGTAAGAAGTTATTTTCCGCAAAGGCTTTCCGGATGACTCGTTCGGGGACCAAAGGAAAGTCTCCAGCTATCATACCCGTCCTGTTTTCAAGTTAGCACATCAAGTCATGCAGAAGATAGGCTCTAGTCATCTTCCAGCGAAGTGAACTGTGACTTACATAATGCTTTGCTGTTTCGGCTGTGGTTCTCGGTCTCGATAAGTCACAGTGTAAAAGCGCTTGATTTCGCGAACCTTCTCTGCAAGATCGCCGTCCTCTCCATCGGAGTCGCGCTTTCTCTTCGTATCAGGTTTCTTCGGATGTTCTCTTTTCGGGTATGTTTGCCCAGACTCTAGGAGATCGACGATTTGATTGGAAATGATCTGGCTATTGAACGACGATGGTTGGGCAATCGACTGGAGAAACCGTAAACAGATGTCTGGGAACACGGCGACCACTTCTTGAATATAAGTTTGCTGAGCAGGTTGAACCAGGTCTTTGGTGTCAGTCGTATCGATATTTCTATCCATTCTCATCGCCAATCTATGTTTGTTTGTCGACGGTAAGATCCAGCGGCAGCTCTGATGAAAGCCGGGGCGCTTTATAGTGTAAATTGTCAGATCAGCTGTGCAAGAGAATCGACGATGCAAAGAGAAGAAGGAATGTTACACAGTATAGACCAGCCGCAACAAGAAGCGCATGTAGGTGTGGATAAAGTCGACACGGTCTTGCAAGTAGCTCAGTATGCTGGAATGGGTTAGCGTTGACACCGCAGATGCTTGCCTAATATAGACCGATCTTCTACGACTGGAACGGTTCGTGATCTATACGGATACGTATTTCGTGCCCTCGGTCATTCATTCAGCTCCACTCTTGCGTCGTCAGCACGGTGCAGTACGCGCGCCACGCGCAGAGATCGTTTGGCGGAATTGCTTGTCACACGGCAAAACGGTAGATCACTCAAGTTGTATCATTCTTAAATGCCTTTCGAGCCGCCAAGAAGAGCTTTCCAAACTGGAGATATCATCTGTGTATATACCCTATCAACAAGGCGATTCAATGTAAAACTGGCGAAAGCCCGTAGCAATATGACACCAGCGACCAAAACCTGTCGAGTCTATAGAGTCCAGCCATGGGAAGTTGGAATCGTTTGATCAGAGAACGGGGCTGATTCATCGAACTCAGCCTTAAATCTGCCTTGGTATGCTACCCAAACCGGAGAGGTATCCTTGCAATCATTAACCCAAGTTGTGCACTTTTGAAGCTGGCGGTATGTCCCAAGTTTAGATCAACCTTTCTCTTATCCCAGGCTTGGAATGTGAAAACCTCGACCAGCCATGATAATGTGACAAGTTTGTTCAATTGCTACGTTCCATTCATCTCGTTGTCAACCTAGTCAGGTGCAGCCTGTGCGGTGCTGTGATTACCACCTTGACGATTTCCTACTAATCTCCTTGGCGGCGGCATCCAGTTTTTAGCGTGTCGCGAATAGTTCGATCATCTAGAGCTCATTCATCGGAAGATGTGCGCTCCGTTGCGCCAAGAAGCGTTCTGAATACAGCTGATTTATCGTTCGCTAATTCCCGGAGGGGCTTGTGGTTAGGAAGAGGACATGTCTCTGCACGGTTCCCCTTGACGGATTCAAGAGATAAAAGAAGAAAGAGAGGTGATATAGTACGAGTCACTGTCTCTGGCCGGGACATCATGGAATCTAGCCATTCTTCGTCGTTTCGTTTACAGTGCTCAGGAGCCAAGGTCGCGCAGAGCTTAAAGAAACGATACTTGTCCTCCAGAGAGGCTACCTTCACAATATCAGTCGTGTTTCCTGGTCCATGTGCAAGAAACTCACTTCAAGTTTGTACTGGAAGATTCGGCATTGTGTTGGGAGCGTTGACGCGCGAGCCATAGCCTTTTCATGAACACATTGAGGCCTTGCCGCCAATTTCTGAACGCGACAAGGCTGAACCACCGTACGAGCCTTGTCAACACGGACGATCTGAATAATGTGGGTGATGGCAGGATTCAATCAAGGAATCGGATCAGATGACTTACCTCATCGGTGGATCGTGTGTGATGATTGTCATCAGATCTCGTGCAAGCCGTGGCGAATTCTGGCATGGCACCCTTCGTAGAGCAGCTTTGAATTTCATCCACGATCTATGGGGAGGGACGACCTGCTGTTGTATACAGATCAAGGATCGAAGACTATAGAGTCTAGGGGCGTGAGATAAAGGTAATAGCCGCGGTGGTGTGAAGGTAAACTATGCAAGTGTAGAAAGGATATAAAAGGAGGAGGGAAAAAAGAAAGGGAGAGAGAAGAAGACAAATACGGAAGGTGTCTTATTGGCGCACTATCCCACTTTATATAGGCAGGGGGCGTACTGCGTAGGTACTATCTATGGCTGCGTGCCACTGTTTAAAAACAATATCTCGCTATATTGAATGGCACTTTCAGTCAAGCTCTCAACATGGAACCCCTGATACGAAGAGTAATGTGATGAAGAGTAAGGTATACTTAAATAATGAGCTAGTGGATTGATAATGGCAACATGTCTATGAGTAATAAGCAAGCAGTATCGCTCCTATAGTGAAACGTTACAGATAGCGGCATAAGGGTCATGTTGTATGCTGGGTAACTCTAGTCAGATCATTTGATGTGTTCATAGCCAACAGGTGTTTTCTACGTATCGGTATGTAAGCTTAGTTGCAAAGAGACCTTGTTGGACACTAGAATCGCTCGTCTCCAGGACTGGGCCTCAGTTTACGAGAGTCAAGTTGCAGGCCTCAAAGTACAAGTATCATTGCCTATTGACACCACGGCCAATCACATTAAACTTCCAGTATCATACAGCCAGCTTTATAGGTATCCACGTTGAAGGAAATAGGAGATGCTAGCTACATTACAGTGAGACATATTTTCGCTCAGGAAACTTCAAATTTATTCGCCGTGTTGGTGTTTCACCAATACAAACTGGTAACGCCAGCTTCAAAATCCTAGCCACAACTTCGCTTGAGACGTCCTGCCCGACTCCTAGCCGCGAAAATACTAGCCCTCATTGCGTGAAGATGTGTAATGCCGGTCATTCGCTGAGAAATGTAATGCGTCCCTATCGGATCCGGTACGGCCAAGACAGTTCGCGAGTAAAGTATCTTATCGATAAATTGCACCAACGGACTTTCGCCCAAAATATTTCCCATCGAGACAAGGAAATGTTGGACGACAAAAGATTGCTTGCCCGTTGCATTCCTTTTGACGATCATGTTCAGATCCCGCGTCAGACCCTTCTGGTATGCAATGCGCTCTGCCTCTGGGAACAGTCGGACGATGCTCTCCATTGCCATAAGGTCTAAAACCATCTGTGTTGTGCTTGAGGTCTCCATTAGATCTTGATTCGCCCTGGTAAATATTCCAGGCCACTGATTACGGATTCGCTCAAACGCCTGGGATCTGCACTTTTCGGAGCTAAGGTAGGCCCAAATCGCAAAAATACGTTCGAAGTTATCCCCTCGCATGGTACATCCACCCATCCCATATGAGTCACTCCAAAGCGTTTCGAGGTCCAGTAATTCCATCTGCGAAAGGCCTGATACCCAATTACTCGGGACAATCTGATTGGTTATGAGTATATGTCCAAGTAAGTGCTGGGTTCTAACTTACTGTTAGAGATAACCATAGACTCGCACCCCACTTTTGAGCATACCGGTCAATGTAACTCTGATCCAAGAAGTAGTCTCTAAAAGCCCGAGTGCTTGATAATACTTGGAGAAAGACAGGATGGTTTATCTCGGTAGAAAGACGTTCCGGTTTGCTACCCCCCAATAATATATATATCATCTTCGGGAAGTTCAGCTCTTGCCCTTCGGATATAAAAATCTCTGCATCACTTCTTTGGGCTCCTATACTGATAAGAAGCATACGAATAGCCATAACGACGTTTAGGTTTGGGCAGATACTGCGGCATTGGTCTTGAAGTCCCATTCGAAGTCGATCTATAAGGTTTGAAGAGTCTAGATCTGCAATGCTTGACACCAGAGGATCATCGACTTCAATGAGGTAGAAGGCAAGGAATATGATTGATTGGCTGAATTCCCTCTTGTAACGATTTGTGTTTGTGCAGCTGTTCGAATCATAGAACATTGCCTTCAGGTATTATCAGCGTTTGTAGCAGAGTGGACAAAATGATCGAGCATCACCCAAAGCGCGCAATCAACATACCGAGATATCGTGTATCAACATTTGATACTGTAGTTGAGGATCGTTTGCTAACCTCCTATCATCAAGACCAATGGCCTGTGGAGGGATTCTGGCGGGATCGAAATCGTATCCAGGGATTGGGACTATTGCCTCACGCGATTTGCATTCCTCATGAAAAGCTGATGACTTGCCTGTGAGGGAAACTTTATAGGACTGGTCTGGGTATGGCTGCCCCATGGCCCTCTCAGAAAATACAGGCATTTGACCTGACGAGCGGTAAGCCACGGGTCGGACAGGAGGAGCGTGATGGGTAGATGCAGTATGCTTCCAATAGGCATTTCTATGCCTCTGAGCAACTGCTGCATTGAAATCTATCATGACCACGTGAAAGAAAAGGTTAGAATTGAAGAAATGAAAGTTTCTGAGGGGGGATAGAGAGTAACGAAGGAATAGGTCGTAGGTTATGAAGGGGTAAGCTGACTATTTACACTCGTCGTTACACAGGTTGGGTAGGTCCGAGAACCATAACCATTGAGCCCACCATATGGTACCACCGTATCTTATTTGCAACTAGGAATGGCATTCATCCCACCCTGCCCCGACGTTGGTCTCTCTTGTTACATGTCAAAGGTTCGGCCGGAGCTATATCAAGTCAGGGGAATCTACCCCACTCTCTCCTGACACAGTATTCATTTGCAATAATTCGCCGCCCTGATGGGATGGAATCGGTTCCTCTTCTTCGCATGCTTAGTCGTCAGGTCTGTCTGCTGCTTGAGGTTCGGGTTGAGTGTCACAGCCAAGGAAGGTAAGTGCGATAATTGTCTGATTGGGTAAGTCAACGATGGTTCTCCAGAGACGTTGAGGCAATAACTACCACAGAGGCCGAAGGCCCAGCTCCTCGTAGGCTGAGTGGACGAGACTACCCATCTCGCCATCAGTAAATGATGTTGGAGGGCCGATGTTGCTATAGATAGCCCCACTGACACCCTCGTGGCCAAGGTCGACTGTCATTCTGGGGATGTCATGTTTGTTGATTGTTCTGTTGATGATCGTGGTTGTGGCGGGTTCGACTGACAAAAGCCTGAGAGGAGGAAAATCTTTGATGACACCCATTGTACTCACTGTTGACTATGAACTTTATCTAACTGCGTTTATCCTCTTGGAGTTAGACCTTGATCAGAATTAGATTCATAGTTGTATTGTTCTCTCTCTGATGCCACTGCTGTTGGTGCCTGACCAGGAGGTGGTGGAGGAGGAGGAGGAGGAGCACGGGAATGGCAAGGGTAAGAGCAGTATGCAGCGGCGCAATTGGGAACCAATCCTGCTGCAGTCGCTACGGAGGGCTCCGCACGCAGGATACAGGATCATCGAGAGGGCGCGAACCCACCGTGGCAGCCGGGGAAGCAGAAGCAGAAGTAGCCCAAGAGAAAAAGGCCCTAGCGGTATTAGCGTCACCGTCGATACTAAGCTGCTGAAGCTTGTTAGAAGTTGGGAGAAGGAGGTCGAAAAGGCTGCCGCGGAGCGCCGGAGGAAGATTGAGGCGGCGGGCGGCGTCGATCAGGAGTGCTGATGGGTGCAGTTTATGAAGTGGGCTGTGCATCTGCAGAGCAAGAACAAGCTTGAGCTCCACCGAGCTGGTCTGTCTCCGACACCCAGGACAGGCGAGCTGAAGCTGTGGAGGCAAGAGGCCCGAGACGCCAACGCGAGGCTGCGGGCGTTGGCTGAGAGCTTCCGCCGTGAGTTGGCACGAGGGCTAGAGCGTCTCGACAGGGTGCCGGATGAGACGCTGAAGTGACTCGGGAGCATCCACGCAACAAAGCCGATTACGAAGCCGTTCGGGCACAAGCAGGAGGCAGCAACAATTGAAATATATAGTGCGGACTGGGAGCGTTAGACATTAGCCCCAAGGAAGGTAGACTCTATCACCATCTCGCTATCCTAGCAAAACCCGATGCAGTTCAACAGCTATTTTACTACACAAAGTCTCTTCTCTACCCCAAGCCATTCCTCTGTACCAGGGAAACTATTGTGACGATAGTTGAACCTATGCTAAGTAATGGTACTGGCACTACAAATGTAGTCCATGCTACAGTCGTTCTTGTTCATAGTATAGTTTTCACTGGGACGTGTCGGGATCACCTTCAAGAAGCTATGAAAAGTTTCAATGACAGGCTGAGAAACGTGTTATCAAGTCTAATGAGACATGGTTGGAGAAATGGTTGGTTAGGGTTGCAAGATATATTTGGAATATACTGACTTATACAGATACCACATTGTAATCTCTCTTACCTGCTTTCTCCTTGGTTACGGTGTAGAACCAAATCCTCTAATACAGGCTATTTCCAAGGAGCTCCTCGAGACAGATGTTGCTATGTACGGAAATACAGGGAAATATCAACACGTTGCCTTTCCTGCACATCATTTTCGTCTTCATTCACTAGTTTGAATTTCGCGACCCTGACACAAAGTGCAAAGTCACAAGACGCTTCTTCATAATGACCCGTTAGCACGACCGTTACCAGAAGACTTCGTAATGAGAGGTCTGCTCTACTTAGAAGACTATCAATCTGAACAATGGTTCCACTTTGGCAGAGTCGCCATCGATGAGAGATGTGTTGAACTACCGTCCATGGCAGAAGAACAAAAGCATCGGACTCTGTCTCTAGTGCCACGCATTGCTTAATCTGGCCGGTGGCTGATTTGGGATCCGGCAGCTGGTTTATCCTCACCCGCTGCCAAATAGTCAACCGCTCAAACAGAACAATTGAGGAAGGGTAAATGGGAGAATCCATTTGGCTTAATACAGTGGTGGTCCAAGAGTCAGACCGTGTTATACTTACTGATCCAGCCCACTATGGGCCAGCCAATGGAGGCAAATGTTGTGATTGGTGTCTGATCAGGAAGGGAGGTGCTCCCTCGTATTAGTGAGACAGAAAGGCAGAAGCATAGTTGTGGTGGTACATCGTGACCCGCAACAGGATCGTCATCATAGAATTGCCGTTTAGTCTACCCACCCCATATCCAGCCTGTACTAGCAATTGTTTTAGAGAGTACTGATGGGTGCTCTCTTCTCTTTCATAACAACTCTTAGGTATAGTTCAGTGTTACTTGTGCGTTTATTTTAATAAAGCCAGAATAATAAAATGTACTGTATGTAATAACAAGTACCTTCACCAGGAGAATAGAAATGTATTGGAAGCTTACATTTTGGATAACTTAAACGTTATTACTGGTCTCGAGAATTAAAGGAAACTGTACCTGTCGGTTCAAGAGAATAAACAGCTGAGGATAAATGCGGGGGCTGACAAACGCCACACCTAACCCCAATAACTAGCAACACGAAGTCCAATATTTGCTGTCCTTGGTACGTCCGCCATCCAAGTACACATGTAAAGGCCTATTTGCGAAAGTGTAAGATTGATTCCAAGTGCTCATCAATGGACTTACTTGATGATACAAAGCTCTTCTCTTGGTGCTTGCAGTCCATATTCAGCCTGTCGAAACGTATAATAGCGACGCCACTCAATCGACCTCGAGCTCAGCATCGAGCGCTTATCAGGACCAGTCAATTCACGAGCAACTCTAGACCATCATGCCCAATAACAAAGATCCATGGAGTATCATAGAATGGTTACATGACACTCATGCCCAGCACCTACGATGGCATTTGAGAGCAGAATTACATAAGGATCATGCGGAGGGAAAATGGGACAGCTATTTGAAGAAAATGATGAAAGAGTGGGACAGTTCATGGACTACGTTTGTCGGGGCATTGATTGATTCACCCGAAGGGTTTCGCAAAGAACTTTTAAAAGAATTCTGGGACAGCAATTTTCGTACACAATACCAGAGAATAGTCACATCTATTGGTGAGTTGCAGGAGTCGAATGCCTCTATCCCAGGCATAATTCTTCGGCGCGTTGCAGTGCCGGAATACTTGACCAAATTGCCTGAATCCGCCCGGAAATGTTGTTTTGGTGGACAAAAATTCGAAACCGGCGCCGATATGATATGGGTACAATGTAAGAGACATGTTTGGTGTTCGAAATGCTTTGAGGAGTGTTCTTCTCAAATCTTGAAGCCACCGTTTACTGCCTGCCCTTGTGCCAACCCTGATTTTTTCGAGCCTGAACGAAAACACTTGAAGAAATAGGGACATTGATGAGAGATATCTGTGATATCGTACATCCAATGAATCAGAGTCGTCAGGCTTTATTTTGTTGGCATTCGCCATGTCAATTTTGAATTTACCATGTGAAATACAAGCTTTTCTTTCTCAGTTGGTTGGTCGAGTTGAGACCATTGCAACCAAGGAGGACAAGAGCGATAATTGTTCAGCCTAACTGTTTCTCGACGAGTTGAGGGACTTGCCCCCGCAGAGGTCACGGGCCCAGCTCCCTGTAGCCCGATTAGCGTGTGAAACGACGCATCTCGCCACAGTCAATGCACTTGGAGGACCGATATTATTGTCGATAGCTTCCTGGACATTGCCTTGCCAGGGATGAATGTCGTTCTTAGGGATGTCTTATTATATCAACGACAGTGGTGAAACATTTGACTACTCACATCTTGGAAAGAGGAAAGACTTTTATGCTATGTTTTGTGGGCATTGTTAACTATTACATTTGCATGACTACATATGTACTTTTGGACTTCAAACTTCATCGGCACTAGATTTACAGTTGTCGTATTGTTTATTGCGTTGATTTGACCGGTACCACTCGAGAAATGACCGTTGAAACCAAATACAGAGCTTTCAACGCTATGTTAGAATGAATATCGTGTTACGGATACGTTCATACTTAGTTAAGCTCTTCTTAGAAAAGAAAGGTTGTTTTACCATCCTTTCAGCCTGACGGTAGAGGTGCTGTCATCACTTTCCACCCACGTGAGGAACGAGGCACCACCCTATACTCCAGCAAGCAAATTAGACTTGATGTCCAAAATTACCACCACCTTTCTCGGTCCGATAAATTTACGATGTCTTCTTTGAGGCTCAAAGTAACGCTCCAAACCAAGTCGAAACCGATCTCAACTAACGGTAAGGCAATGGCATGTCATGTAACATTGCGAAAATAGGACTCTCCATCAAAGATTAGATCTCCTAGTACATAGCAGTACGTTTCATCAATCGACTCACTGACGCCGATCCTACATCTATATGGATTCTCCCAATTTCACTGAAAGCAGACGATATGATTCGTCATTGGCTAGTGATCTGATCCCCTTCCACTTTCAATTATTCCAAATTTCTTACTAGCGCTGACTTGTACGTGCCGTCTTTGGAAATGATCAGCTTAAGGGCATGTCAGCCTTGCCGCTTCATCTCGGGCGTCCGGGATTGTGCCGACCCCCCTGCCAATTCACGAGTAACGTATCGCGCTAGACAGAACGCGGCGGTAAATGACGCACAATCTGTCCGCCATACTCCTGTCGATTGAATCGTTCTGTTTTGCAAGCCCCAATGGTCCAAGGCGACCGCGACCACTCGTCATCATCGTATCCACCACTGATTCACGGACTCAACGTTGCGTCGGAATGCGCGCCATTGGAGATTGTTTTCGAGGATCCACGGCTGAAAAAGACGCCAGGAGAGCCCTCCCTGAAACTCCCTAATCAATTTACGTCCCTTGTCGAGGACTTGGCAAACGGCGACTCACAGAAGGAAAGGCGGCGACTACATGGGCTCGACAGTGTAGAAGAACTCCGTTACAAGATGGCGCGGCTTAGAAACACCGACCTGGTCCGTCGCCCACACCAGGCACCAACCCTTGACTGCTGGGAGCAGCTGGTCGTCGTCGCTGCAACTGTGGTAGACCTTCATCTTGGTAAAGAGGACACTGCATCGCTAATAGTCAAATCACTGAATGCAAGCGAGTTATCACACGACAGAATACTCAGGGACAGAAAGGCTGCTCGTCAGGTAGTGAAGTTGATCGATGCCATGCACTTGTACTGGAAGCATGACCTTGCTTTTGATTTGCTTGTGATCCTCGGTGAGTTTCTAGCTGTGTCTGGTATATCAGGTACACCGGCTCTTATGTTGGAGGCGATAACGAACTTAGACAAACCCTTGCAAAATGGTTCGGGACTGTATGCAACTGAGATTAAAAGGTTTGTGGCCGTGTAAGGCAGCGTGTATTGTCAAGTTGAGCAAGGAACCCTTGTTTTCGCATTCGGCTAGTTCCGCGGTAGTCTATGAGTTTAATTGCATCTCTAAAATTGTAGATCAATGCAATTCTCGTTTATCTCTCGCCTGCTTGTACTTCCCTCTTGTCAGAAGGTCCTCAATCAGCGTGTCTTTGAGGTCCTTAACAGGGCCATACTCTGTGTGTACAAGAGAGGGTCAATTGAATATGTATCGGATTCCTGTTTCTATTTTTCTTTTTTCCTTCTTCTATCAAGATCTTACACCATTGAAATGACCTGTTATCCAGCTATCCTCTGGCTGATTTTGTGATATTATTATGATCTCAACCGCTCACTACTCCGTGCTCTTCGTGGGAGAGTTAAGCTCTGTACGTTGTAGGGCTTATACCTACGTGAATATCCTTCATTTAGACATGAAACCTCAGTTGTGAGTCGTCTTTTGGCCAGTCTTGGTTCGGTTTTTACCCTCCCGGCCTGCGTACCTCAGCGGAAACTGCAGCTCAAACCGTGGACGACTTCGGGAAAACGGAAGGACCCTTGTTCCCTTGTTCATGCAGCACTGGAGCCACTACCTAAAAGTTTTCGGCATCTTGCAGCCGTCTTTGCGTAATTCCTGCCGTCATATCTCTGCCTTTCCCGGCAGTCTGGGGCATCCCATCCTTTTTGAATGGGCATCCTGTTTCAAATCAGCCTTCTCGTTCGATTCTTACATACTCAATCTGCTCAGAGTCTTCCCCCAGTCGCTGTCAACCTTAGTCCTGCTGTAAACGGTTCTGCCAACGGCTTAGACCAGACACGTACTGTAAAGAGTACATTGCTCTTATGTCACCGCACTAAATTGCTTTTCAACCGCTTACATACAATCGTGTTGTACCCTGATTTAGCACGTCCCTCAACCAACACGACCCAACCGGTGCCTTTGGTCGCCCATTTCCTTGAATCTCACAGTAACAGCCAAGTGTACAATCATGTGTATGGATATTTTGTTTTTGATAGGGAAAAGCCTTGTTGTAGAGCAGCTTGCTATACCGTTAGCCCTTTGCAGTATATCGAGAAATATTTGTAACATAGAAGTGTGAGAAAGGAGATACAGCAAAGCTCCATACCAATATTGTATGGAGTATTGGCGAAAAGAAGGAAAGCACCATATTTTGCTCAAAAACAAACTCCATAACCAAAATGCTCCGGAGGCTTTCTAAAAATGTGCATGTCCTTGCCTCGACAGACATCCATCCCAAGCATGTTTCCATCATGCTGAACCATACCTGGTCGCCTTACATCTGTTAAATAACACCAGCCAGCTCTTCCCATCTAGAGTTATCTTGAGATAGAGCGTCAAAGGCTTAAACCATTCCCGTGTATACCCAAGAGCCTTGTAGCCTCTTACCGAAACAATATAATGCCGACCCACTTAAAGACCGCTATCACGATTGTAGTCATCAGTAACCAAGTAACCAACGCCTAGTATGACTTAGTTCAAAATCCAAGCTCCCAAATGTTGAAGTAATTATAGCATGAAGCATCTCCTGGTTGTTTTTCTTTTTCTTAGGTGCACGCCTCACGGGTTTCGTCGGCCTTTGCACTGTTTTTGAAGGAGATGTCCGTTTCGTGCAGTGGGTCTTGTAAACTCCGCTCCGCAGTTAGGGCACAATGCTTTGGCGGCTTGTCCTGATTTCTCGCGTTGGTGTCGTAGTAGATTGCTGAATGTCGAAAACTCTCGTCCGTTACACCCATGTTCCCAGCATCGTGGCTTTGGTCGGCTTTGCACCCCTCTCCTACGCCCCGCATGTTGCGAATTTGCGCCTCCAGGACACATGACAGTTCGCACCTGGTACATAAAACCGACGTCCTGACCAACAGGCACTAGTGGCAATCTAGCACTGCCTTGGGTCAGCTACGCTGGTTTAACATGTGAAGACCAACAACATACCTATACTGATTTGATCCGGCATAAACAGGTGCGTAATCCACAGGCATATTGTAGCTGGGTTGTCTATCGCAGATTAGCATGGTCCGGGCGCCGCCCTATGATCCAGGGGTCTTACAAGCTTCGTGGGTAAGTGGTAGGGTGTGCCGAAGGTGGTTGCCGATCTTCGAGAGAAGGACTATACGATTGTAGGTATGTCCAATTGTTCATTAAAGTCGGGGTGTCGTTCACAAGTGTTGCGGGTGCGGGAGCGGATGTGTGGGCTGGGGTAGCCATGGACCTTGTTGTGCTGGGAAGTGCCGTCGCCAAGGGGAAGGAATCAACATAGGGGCTACTGGTGGAACGGCGCATTCTGTCCACAAGCCTAGAGTCTCGACGTGCCCTATCCGATTGTCGCTTGACTTCTCGCTCATCTGTCGAAAGAGAGAATCGTGGGGGGGCTGATGTAACTGATCTTGACTGAGAGGAGACACGTTCCATTGAAGATAGTCTAGGACTAAACAAGCTATTTCCAGAGGTGCTCGACTCGGTAGGGCCTGTGGATTCTAAGTTAGCAACGTATCGACGAAGGAAGAATGAGTATTGCCAACTTGGGCCGCTAGAGGCTGAGTATAGTCCCATGGTGAAGGCAGGGTCAAACTGAAGAGCAACAGTACTTAAGGAAACAGTATCAGCGTCTGTCTAAGCTTTTAGGGTATAGAATGGTAATACCTGATGCTGGTTGGTTTTGATGGGCGGCAGCTTGGTGTTAAGTGTTGATGGCTCCTTTATGGCTGAGAGAGACGACCTAGACCCCTCCTACAGCTGGTCTGAATAGTTCCAGTTTGACTCAACGCCGGTCGAAGCCAAGGTTGGAAACTTTAGAGTAGGATTGAGGGGCAGATGTGGGTAAGTAAGAAGACTCGGCGGTTAGTGTGTTGTTGATGCGAGGTGCCAATGTGGTTAAGAAGTGGCGAGCTGGGTCAAAGGACTGGGGCTTATGAGAATGCCTTTTATACTTATTTATAATGAGGAAATATCGGAGCTGGACTTAGAACGTTGATCTATCTAAGGACCATCGGGGCCCCAAACACGACCAGAGACAGGATGTCGACTTATATGAAAGAGGGCAGTACACTATTCTTCCGTTGAACGTGCATGACGAAGTGAAGGAGAACTGACACGTTGAAAGAAACTTGAGTGACATTGAGCTATAGGTACAGGACGTTACATTACAAGGGTCTAAATTACAGTGAAGCCTGTTCCGTGGAGCGTACGCTGAGCGATAAGAAAACATGCCGTTAGCAAGGGTGACAAATGATTGCGGGAGTGGCACCATGGAAGAGTGATGGGGAGAAGAGCAAAGCTTGGAGTGCGCAGGATGTTGGTTCTCTGTCTTTTTACTTCACATTCCCACACAACGCTAATGATCTGTCATATATCATGCCAAGCCCGCCTATATTGGCATCACCAAGTGGCGATGTGCGAACGTCGTGAAGATTTTACTTTTGCCCGATGCCGTTGTCTTTGCGGTGGCCCGTGGTTCCATGGATACGCCCGGAATATGCTTAGAACTGCATTTGGAAGGAGCCGGGTTCGGAACCGGGATCGCCTAAGCCGCTTACAGGCTGATAGTGGGGAGCCTGTTGGACCTTCCTGTTTGGCTGGGGGACAATTTGTCGAACTACGAGTAGTAGTGGACTTGATTTGTTGTGGTGGCCAACCGCATTACTCGTTGGCTCGCCAACTAAGCAAACTTGCTTAGTTCGCCCCTCCACGGCGAGCCAACAAGATTGGTTTCAACCCAAAAGGCAACATCACCTTGCACTTCTCAATTTCTTAGCTCTCGATCGTACTGGTAAAGAACCACTGTATCAACTCAACAAACTCGGTAGCGCCTGTGCATACTGATGGTCGAAACTTGCCGTCGCTATTGCTTTTTTGAATCCGGAGCATCAGGTACATCGCCATTGGTAAAATCGAGAGATCCTCTGACCTCAGATCTACAGGCGCTACCGAATTTGTTGAGTTGAGGCGGTAGGCCATTTATCCCTCCATCCTTAGGCGTTCTGCTATCAGCATTCCAACAATGAACCCCAGCAATATAACGTCTGCAGCAAAACGCAAATACAACCGATATGGCTGGAAGATTCCATGCTCCCTATACTTACATGGGACCAGTACCGCCCTTCGGGTGTTATCCCTTCAGCGAATGCATGGTGCAAGAGGACGCCGACTTTCTGTGTTGCCTGCCGCCTGAAGGCCGCCAATCTATCTACAAGGAGCTTTTCGGCAATCGAAAAGTCCATACAGTATTTTTCTTGGCAGTAGATCACAGTTCACTTTCCCAAGCAAGCGTGGAGTTCCAGATCTGAAGTACCGTAGCTGTGAATACACAGACTCCGAAAGACCCCACCATCATGAGCCTAAAGAAGACATCGACACAAGATGGTATGTTCTATTGTATCTAATAGTGTAACTATCATTTTCTCTACCTCTAGTCTCGTTAGCGTTCAATGTGTTAATTATTATATCGTATTGTGGATTATATTACTGAGTAGTATTAATTGTACTCAAATTCTTAATTAAGCTTTCAGGTATCAATTAAGGGATATTTTTACTCGATATACCCTATACAAGCACAACGATGTATAGTGGGCCTCGTTTCAGGCTCTTCTACGCCCTCCCAGCATACCCCCTTTCACGAGACCACAGAGAGATATGACATCGGTGTCTGGCATTGTTTTGGAGGCAGAACCCCATTGGGAATAGAAAATCAGTGCTTGGAAATCCAGTCACGTAACGGTCAGGGTCCAAATACGCCCGTTTATTCGTCCATTACTCGACGAAATGGTGTTGGGTGGCTGGACTTTGTATTGTTTAGCGTCGCAGTCGAGTGGCCCAGACGAAATAAGCCTATGCTAGGGGGATGGACTAGAGAAGGAAAATATCTCGAACGAATGCCACGGCTCGTGGAACGGCATATGGCTTTGTACGATTTGGCCACCAAGTAGCACAAGCCAACCAAGCGATCTCATTCATTTTCTAAAGCTTAGTCTTCGAGTCTGATAAAAGAGTCCATCTTGTCATGGATACGCACAAAGAAGCTGTCTTGTGCATTGCCGAGAAAGTCCGCAATTTCCACGATCGTGACGAACCTTTCAGGCTGTACCACGGGTCGACCAACAGCACCCGGTACTCGGGTCGATATGCTGACAATGTGGTCGATACGAGCGAGCTTAAAAACATCTTTGAGGTGGACAGCAGCAAGAAGACAGTTCTTGTCGAGCCAAATGTTTCGATGGAAGCCCTTGTAGACGCGACACTACCACATGGGCTCGTCCCGCTGGTCGTGATGGAGTTTCTAGCTATTACCGTCGGAGGCGGCTTTTCGGGAACATCGGGTGAGAGTAGCTCTTTTCGATACGGAGCTTTCGATGCTACCATCAACTCGATCGAGATCATCCTCGCAGACGGAACGGTGAGCAACCCTTCGAAATACGACAGGCAGGATCTGTTCTGGGGGGCTGCTTCAGGCTTTGGGACTCTGGGAGTCGTCACGCTGTTGGAGATGCAACTCAAGGATGCAAAGCCGTTCGTCGAACTCAACTTTGGGATTAAAAAAAAAAAACACCGGTAGTGGCCTGCGTTGTTCTGGGTCACTCTAATGCTCCGTTTCATCGAGACGTCCAGAACATAATGTATTTCCGTGATTCTACCACGCAGTTACAGCAAGTCTACGAGGCTATCGTGAGCGTGCTTTCTTTGCTTCCTTACACTCTCTACATCTCGAGACGTTGCTTATGGAATGATATTTGCCGCCTCCAGCAACACACGGGACCCGCTCCTGTTTAAAGTTCCGATCCTTCGTCGGTTGTATCCCGTGTTTCTTTTTCTTATGAGCATATATATTTGCAAACTCCTTGTTGCAATCCTTACACAAGTCCCGCTTACCCCGGATCTTCTTCTCGATCTTCTTTGGTGTCTTCTGCTGCAAAGGGTCACCTCCCACATGTGAGTCTCCTTGAGTCTCACCTATTATATCCTCTGTTTGTACAGTACCGGAAGGCGCTGGGGTGTTCCCTATACATTGCCCGTTCTCCTGTGATCGGTTGTTTGTTGGTCGTTGAAGACGATAATCGTGAGTACTGATCAGATGTTGGTTTAGCCCTTGTTCTGGTATCTGTTCCGGACATTCTGGGCACGCGACTAATACGTGAAACTCATGTATATGGGTCTGCATGTCCGATTCGGCGAAGAGACCTTCACAGAATAGGCACTTTTGCCAACCGTGAATCTCATGGAGGTGTTGAGACATTTCACCTGCCTCCTGGTACTCACAGCATACTGTACATTTCTCTGTATGGCCGTGGTAATCAATGATGTGTTCCCTGATTTGCTCCAGAGGTAAAGGTTCGATTGTACAAAAGACGCAGTCTTTCATTGTATGGACGCGTCGTAGGTGATCGCGGTATTCGTCGTCAGGGATCAAACTCGGGCAATTCATGCACTTTCGGAGGTTGTGTGTCGCTACATGTTCGTCCATGACAGCTCTACCGTTTGCCAGATGGTCACAATGGGGGCATTCTGTCCACTGATGGATGCCAAGCAAGTGGTCCTGCCGCGCTTGTTCGTCGATGTAACAACTGCACGCCGGACATTCTCTCCACTGATGGTGGTTCATGAGATGATGGTTGAGGTCAACGTCGGAGTGGCAATCAACACAATAGTGTAATTTATGTTCCTTCCAAAAATGAAGCCTCATCTCCTCTTCCGTAAACGATTCGTGACACAAAGGACAGGGACCTTTTATGTGTCTTGTCCTCTTCACAAGGTCCGCAAAGTCGTTGGAGGAAGGATTGCACTTTTGACACAGTACAATTCCGTGGTCCTTCTCAAGATGGGCTCTCATCTGATCAAGAATCTTATCTTCTTGGCAGACGGGGCACGGCACGGGCTTATGATACTCGTTTAGATGTCTGATAAACCTCCTAAGAATTGACAAATTCGAATCATCTTGGTACTCGGGGCACTCGGGGCATCTTATCAAACAGTGCTCTCCTTCAAGATGCTGCATCAGCTTGTTTTTCGCGACTTTTATCGGGCAGAAAGGACAACTGTGATGTTCATCATGCTGCTTTGCAAGGGACGCCGCCATCTCGTCGGAACACACGAAACATATCCGTCGGTTGTGATCGTTGAAAAGATGAGCGTGAAATTCAGAAAGGGCAACTATCTTGACGCAATGGTTACATTTTCTTTGCTCGTGTTCGCCAACATGGGACGTCAACGAGTTTGGTTTCATGACCATGTGGCACGTTTTGCATTCGACAAATTCTGTGCCTAATACAGGTTCTCGAAAAGGATCTTTCTCTTCGGATGACACGAACGTCTGAGGCCAGTTTCTGTAGTAGGCCACTGTTGGTCCTAAGTCGTTGGACTCAGCCAAGAGATACTCCTTAGCGGTATGAATATGCTTCATTTGAGGGAATCTGTCTAGATCCTCTGGGCCACGGTCTGGGTGACGGTGTAAACATGCGGCTTTGAAAGCTGAAAAAATATCCCTTTTATTGGAAACAGAAGTCGGGATGACACCCAGAGCGTCAAAGGGGCTATATGTCAGTTCGTACCACGTCATGGCGTCGGGATGAGGCTGGAATGGCGAGGTGATATCTGTCAATGAGAATGGCGAGTGAGGTTGACGAATGTTTGTAGAAATTGAAGATTTGAATCGACGCGTGAAATCGACGCGCGGAACTGATAAGTGAAATTGATTGCAGCAATTGAAGATTTGAATTGACGAGTGAGATCGAGGTGTGATATTGGTTGCAGCAATTGACGTGTAGGTTAGTTGTAATGAAAAATTGGAATTGATCAGCTGAATCCAAGATGCGATCACTTAGATATCTATCTGATAGGGGCTGACCATAACGTCCTAAGCGAGATTTCGGTCCGGAGAATCGTTGTTCCGGTCATCTGTCATCCACTCATTATTCAGCTCACTTTGCTTAACATGAAGTACAATATGATCATAGATGCTGCGGGGTCAGATCCACATCTACCGACGTTCATTGGCTCTAAAGATCCTGACAGCGACCTTGCCCCTTTCGAATGGAACTTTGATTGGCAACCAAAAGGTAAGCTACCCTGTAGCGACTGTGGTTTTGTATCTGGTCCCTGGATAGGCGCTTCTTGTCGACTTACGGTAGTATATTCAAGCTGCTAACAGTTCGCAGAATCATCTACAATATTCTTTAGCACATGTGATTACATCTTAAGAGTACGGTGAGTTCGTTCGACTTTTGCTCAAGAAAAACATTCAACAGCAATTTGTAATGGAAAGGGCTTTTTGGACTTCAAATATCATAACAAGCTGAACTTGAGTGGCCTTACTAGGTTATCCGTACTTTCAGTGTGTGAGGCGTTTGCCTAGGAACTGATTGGCTCAAAGGTTCCCACCATCCTTGAATGGAAAGAACTACCCAACTAGCCAAGATAGCGTTATCTTAAATGGTTGTTTCTATGTGTCGTTACTGCGGTTTGGCCTATCAGAGTAGGCGACCGTATGAGGCAAGGTGTGTGTTATGGATTATTGTGCCTGTTCCCCGATCTCTTTCGCCTACATGGGAAAAGCTGGACAGGTTTTGAATCAAGTATAAGATTTGAAGTCCAATACAAATCAACGCAACGTAGTCGAAGCTCTGTATGTTCACAGGGTCTCCAACCCTATCTAGTCGTGTCTTTTTTGTCTTTCTTTCAAAACCATGAGTCTCAAGGAAACTTACCCTCTTCTTTCCGTGCATACTGAACGATTCGACCATGAACAGGGATTTACATCAATCCTTGTGCAGTCTAAAAACATCGATATTCTGCTATAGAACTTGAATAGAAGTCACTCCTGGACTTGCCGGCTGCAGGGATAGAGGTATCACCACCAGGACTACTATGTGGAACATACTGGTGGCATAGTGATAAAAATCATGCTGATCACAATGGTATAGCCAACCGATACTTTCACTTACAACGCCAGAAAGGTTGTGAGGATCTATGATGAGCTTATCAGGCCCCATTGTGATAAGGGTCTCCAAAGAAGAAGCGGACTGTAGAGCAAGGCATTGTGAAGTGCGGTTGATGTCTGGTATATAGGTCATGTCTCTGCTTTCAACTATCCCTGGGGACTTACTGACGTTATTTAGGAGGTGTGGTTGTGGTGTATGTTGTTGATGATGGAAGGGAGAGGAAAAAAAGCCTTATGGAAGCAAGGAAAGAAAGGCGTTTATGCTGTGCCTAAGCCTTGTGTATAGGGCAGGTCAAATCAAGGTCATATGTGGGGAAAGGAGTGACACTGCCCTGCGCAAAGTGTAAAAATCACCAAAAACCTTATCTGATCGGGCTGAACTCAGCGAAACAAGGTACCTAACGGAACCAACACCAGGAAAATATATTTTAAGCTACTTGGCAAACGACACCGTAGTTGATCGCAATCGCACCAATTAATGCACTTAAATCTTTGACGGTATATGTCTCGGACGTACAACCCGGCTTTGGTGACCGTAAGCCTTGTGGTTTACACGCGTAGACTTTAGAGAAGCAAACACGTAAGATTCGCATTAGCATAGTCGTAAGCGTCCAGATACCCTAACAACTGGACCATGGAAGCACATACCACCAACACATGAAAGATTGTATGGGAGCCGCAGAAGTCGAAATGACCAGGGTAGCGTCTTTCAGGGAATCTGGTCTTCGAAAGGCGTGTGTTAGGGAAGACATACATTTCTGCAAGACTATGTGACTTACTGCGTAGAAGGACACCCCGCAGAGGAGGCAGGCTGCCTTTACAATAGTATGGGGAAGGGCTTTCCTCATCATCTGCCGTATACCAAATACGACTGTTCCATGGACCAAGGGTGCAACACCATACAGACCAGTCGCCACAAACATCAACATTCGGAACAGGCGATACTTTGCACCCTGCCAGTTCGGATGCAGTGTCATGACAATGACCAACACCCCAAATAGTATAATCTATCCATCGAAGAGAAGGAAGTGTTAGACTCAGAAACTAGACTTTATGCAAAGGGGAACAAAAGTCTACATGTGAGATCGACTAACCATAGACCAGTAAACTAGGCGTAACCAAGGCTCACACCAGAAAACAAGGTATATTCCTAAGGCAAGGTCACCCAGTATGAAAACCACAACACCGAACATGTCCATTCGCAAGCATAAATGTTGCACATGTCGCGAATGGTTCATCAAAGTGTGGTATATCGTCGATAAAGTAAAGCACGTAACAGCTGACAATATGAAAATGGAGAAAGAAATAAGGTCGGCATCAGTGACCATGGAGTATCTGCTAGTAAGGTACTTCCGAATATAAAACGCGCTTGACAAGAACAAAACTGCAGGTATAAGATGTGAGAAGATATTAAACGACTCGTTGTGCATATAAAGCAGACTGCAGAGGGAAGTGTGAACCGATCCTGAGATCGGTCTGTAACCATGACGAACCCACTTGTTGCACTCGACTCGGAACCATGCTGGCATTCCATCAAAGGGCAGAAGAACTGTATTTCTTACCCTGCCAACCTTGTATAGAGCTTTTTCCACCGGCTCCATTATTTGCGTTTCGTGCGCCTC